CGGGCGGGGTGCGGGAGTGGGGTTCTGGGGGTGGGAATGGGGCTGGCGAGGGTGTGACTCCGAGCTGGGCTGCCTTTGGCGGAGAGAGTTGGGAGCGCGGGGAAATGGGACCGTGTTGGGTGCAGAGGAAAGGCTCCTACCGGAAGGGAAGGGGCTGGGGAAGGCTTGGCACGGGGGTTGGAGGGTGTGGGTAGCCAGGAGGACGGGGCACGGTGTGGGGGGCTGGCATATGGCTTGAGAGTTCGGAGCGAGGTGATATACTTGATGGCGGGGCAGAGCCGGGGGGCTTGAGTGGTGAATGTAAATGGGGGGGCTGGGCCAGAGTGGTCGCAGCTGGCCCCGCGGGTGATAGAGAGGGGCCTCTGAACAGCAGGGCAGGTGGAAGGCTTACCCAGTCAGCGAAGGTGTGCGGTCCAGCTAACTGACAAGTTCTCGGCATAAAGGGAGAGTTCGGTTGCAGAGGCTGTCTTTGTTTTTCCACCTTTTCCCACCCTTTTTACCCTCCTAAGGTTTTATCACCCCTTCCCTTGGTTTTGCAAAGGGGAGATGGTGTGAGCCGAGGAAGTGTAAGGGCTGCCTGGCCTGAGGTTGGTGTCCAAAGACGTAGTGGACAGTCCAGCCCGCGTTGGCGGCTGCTGAGTAGTGGGTAGGGATGTGGGTAGGGATGATGTGCAGTGGGAACGGGGTTACCTTAGGGTCCATTCAGGAACCAGACACATTTACTGTCCAGACTGGGACAGACTTCTGGTGAGCCGTTTTCTCTCTCTCTCTCTCTCTCTCTCTCTATCTCTCTATCTCTCTATCTCTTTTTTTTTTTTTTTTGGTCCCTTCAAACTAAAAACATTGATTTCAGGACTTGCTGTTTATTTTACCCCACATTCGTTTTAAGTGGCTCTTAGGTACAGTCAGATGCATTTTACTCAGCGTGATTAGTTTAAAAAATGTCTGAGAGGCTGGCTTCTAGAGGCTCAGTAAACCCTATAAAGAACCCTAGCGTCAGCTTGTCAATAAATCAAGCCAGTTGTTTCCTTATAAGTATTTTCTAGGGATCTGTTGGAGAAGAAGTAGGAGTCGTGGTTTCTGTAAGCAGTAGAACTTTATTTTTTTAAAACAATTGATTTTTGAGGAAAAGAAGTTGCTTTAAGAGAGGTGCTCCACCATCACCTAATTCTGTACTCCAGGCTGTGCTGGGTGCCCCGTTCCTCTCCTCCTGTTAACCTGTTTGGTGGTTTATAGGTTGAGAAGCCCTGGTAACAGCTTTCTGGATGGAGGGGGCAAGTTACACATGAGAGCTTGAGCTTCCAGACTGCATACCTGATCTTTCAGAAAGCATGAATTCACGTTGTAGTTCTAGACAGCCGCTCTCTGTGTAACAAGTATCGTTTGGGAATGAGCATGGCCCCTGGCACATGCTCTTTAAATACTATTAATCCTGGGCAGACGTTGCTCCATGGGGCTTTTCAGGTGTTTGATATAAATCACAATACTCAGGGCATTAGCATGGTCTGTATTGATCAGCTGGTTGTAAAATTAAAGGTGTCTCTCGTCTTCTGGGCGTGTTTTGATTTATATTGCCCATCAGAGATCCCCTCAGGGCAGTAGCCTATTGTAATACAGTT